CCGGCGTCAGGCTGCCTCCATCGGGTTAGATGGGAGGAAGATGACAGTGAATTCCTGGAGCACAAATATTCAACCTAAAACTAACTTCTAGTTACTTCTAGAAGGCAGCGTGTGTGATTGGATCCCCCCACTGACACACAACATTAGGAGATGTTTTACAGAGAAACAGAAAGTAAGTTTAACTCTCCACAGGACAGATTTATCCTGTGTAAAGTTAATGCAGTTAGCTGCTGGCTACAGCTAGCTTACATATCACCACCAATTAATGTAATTTAAAGCATCTTCTAAACCAGTGTTTCCCAAAGTTGGGGTCGGGACCCAAAGTGGGGTCCCGAAACATCAAGGTGGGGTCCTGAAAAGATTKTCTGAATTAATTACATTTTGGCCTTAGTTGTTATAAATGAGTGATGTTAGTAAATTTAAAATGGATAAATGTAGTATAAAAATATTGTTACTATGCCCATGTTTTGTTGACCTGATGCAAATGTTTACCATCCAAAAATAGCGGGGCACAGGTCTCTGCTACTGTTATTTTGTGGGTCAAAAGCTGAAAAGTTTGGGAACCACTGGTCTAAAGTACAGCGTGATCAGCTGGTGATATTTTTATCAGCAAGAATAACATGATCACATCAGAAGATTATTAAGTGTTTTTTATTAAAGTATAAAACAATTGCATTGTAACATATTGTAAGAGTGGATTTTTTATTATCAGAATAGTTTAAGCATAAAACAAAGCTTGGTTCATGTCTAAAAACTTTAATATGATTATAACTGTTGACTCACAATCACTGATGAAACCAGACCAAATAGTCATCTGTTATTTATTCATCACATTTCATGAAATTTTCTGGCTTTTTAAAGCTGACTGACTTCAGCTGGCTGTCAAAAACCAAATTTTTAATCCATTTTCATGTGATGCAGGAGCTGATGAGAGTCAGGGTCAGCAGGTAGGGATAGAGCTCTGTGGCTCAGGTGAGTGATGATGATGATGAAGATGAAGGTGCTGCTGGGAAATTATGAATGAAATCTAAAATGTTTACTCAAGTCAGTATTTATTTTGAGTCCATTCTAAACAGTTGCGTGAAGTTTATTATATACATTACTGATTAAAAGGCATAATCTACAGCATGTTTAAACTGAATTTATTATATTTTGAATAGTATAAAAAATATGGGCTTATTAAAATGTTGTAAGTAGGATGTGGTAGAAACTGAGGTGGTACCAGGGTCGGAAGGATCCTGTAGGCCTAGTTTTGCTTTAATAATTACATGCAGATTGACAAAACTGACAAAGGTTTTTTGTTTTATTTTATTTTTTGTCACCATAACACAGTGTCGTTTTATGTTCTGAAAGCTGCATGATGTCCTGTTCCTTTTGGTTATGAGTAAACCTATCATTAAATCATAAAAAGTGAAATGCCTCTAAATTCACTGTTGGTGGTTATCAATATTGCACCTGTTCACTGGGTAAAGTGATTATTGGTTTTAAACATGCAGTTAATGGTCATTTGGCACAATGACGTGTTACAATTTAAAATAAATCAAGAATAAACAATATGAAAGTGAAAGGCACCCCTAAAGTCACTGGATATGTTAAACTGTGTCACATTAATTAACCTTATCTCAGCTGTAGCAGTGAGTTTTAAACAGGATGATAGAACTAGTTTAATGAAGAATCTGTCTCTGAAATAATAATTAAATCAAGTGTTTATTTATGTATGTTTAAGAACCTGGTAAAAAAAAACACCAGAATGCAGGAAATGGCATATCTATTTTGTTCAAAATTTTCTGGGGGAGGACCCCCCCAGACCCCCCACTTTTAAAATGGTTCTGACGCCCATGGTATCTGGTGTGATCTTTTAGCCCTTGGTGTATTTGTTGTGAATGACTCTCAGCTAAAACAAATTTGAGCGAAATATCTGTAAAACTCACCTATTTATAGTCTTTTCTGTGTGGCCTTGTGATCAGTCAGCTGTGGTGGCCATCTTGAATCAGACTGGCTCCAAAAGGTAAACAGTTATAGAAGTGCAGCGATTACTTTAGTGGAGTTTCAATAAAAACAACTCATGGTTCATGAAGACAATACAGATCAACAAACACACTGTTGCAGACAGTGATGTCAGGGAGTGAGAGACAGTGTGGTTACCATGATTAACATAATAAGCCACTGGCAGCAGCCTTTATTCTTCTTATTTTCTCCTACAGCAGGGTTATTCAACTAGCGGCCCATGGGCCACATCTGGTCTACGAGTGACTTCCATCATGCAAATTTTTTTCCTTTAACTGTACAGTTTTAATTTATGGTTCAATGCAACAAAATGAAGAAATTTAAGAAAAATGTAGCAATACTTGTTCTTTTACATAATGCAGTGCTTCCCCTACCCCCCACACCCATAATGCACGTCCCGAGCTGTTGGCTTTAAGCAGCTGTGGCCCCCTGAGCAATTTAATTGAAAAGCTCAATTCTACAGTTTCTGCACCAAAATGTTGAACATTTGTCATCTTAGATTAATACAAAATGAAGTCCCAAATTCCTGTTAGACTTCAGGGAAAATTCTTTATTTGTTGAACTTTAAATGCAGCTGCTTTGACACCCTTCAAAATTTATTCAGAAATGTTCTAGTTTTGTTTCGCAGACTGCACGTTATTTATTTTATATTGCATAAATATCAGACTGGCAGCTTCGTTTGGCCAAAAATAAATCTCTGTTCTGTAAATATCAGCAGTGACTCACAGGTAAACTATAATTGTTCAAATCAGACCTGAGTCTGGAGGTTTTGTATGTTTAACTTACAAGAATCTAATCTAACTTGAAGATCATCTAAGTGCTGCTGGGCTTAGCAGCAGTGTGTGTGTGTTTCATGTGCAGCTATTTCAGGACATCAGGCTTTCATTTCTCTCCAAGCCAGGAATGAAAGCTCCCGTCACACTGCTCACTTGTTTTCATAATAAAATGATTTCATGAGCATGTGACTGAGTGGGGGACAGAAACAGATGTTTAAAAATAAAACATCTATAATATTAACTGAGGCCCGGGTGCATTTATGAACATATACTCAACGCCAAGAGGCAAGCGGCCTGCCAGCGTCTTGGAGAAAACCATCTGTAATTACCGTGTCGAAACCGCAGAACCACTTCCTGCAGGTCGCTGATCCTAAAGATTCGGTCTCCCTGGCTACCCTGTTGCCAGGAGACCGCCGGGGCAGGATGGGCTGATGCTTCAGGACTGACAGAGATGGGCAGAGGTGCTGCACTGGAAAAGGCCGACACGTCAGGCAGATGAACTCCAGCTCAGTTCGCTGCATCACATCCTTCAGCTCCAGATATGTGAAGAGTTTATTCAGATTATGCATTTCCTGTTTTTCAGTTTAAACAGGAATAAAAGTTATTGCTAATATTTCGCTAAATAAACACACAACTGTGCAGAGTTTACATTCACTAATGTTTGACAGAACTGCTTTGTTACATGAAGCAGTGAGAAAAGTAGAAAAAAAATCAAACTCTGAAAGTTCGGAGTTAACGCTGAGAACAGAACAAGCAAAACACTAGTTAAAAGTAATGAAAGATCAGCTAAAATTTAGAGATAACAGAACCAACACGCTAGCTAAATATACCAAAACACTAGCTACGAGCTAAAAGTAGCACAAGACCAGTTTAAAGGAAAAGGAAGCAAAGTGCTAAATAAAGCTACATGTGGCAAAAGGCTAATAAATGAAGCAAATAAACTGCCTGCCGAATAAAACATGCTAAAAGTAAAAAAAGCTGAATGCTAAAAGTTGTAGAAGAGTAATCAAATGCTAAAATATCCAAAAGATGAGCTAAAAAGTAGCAAAAAAACATTAAATGTAGCAAAAAAAAAATAAACAAACTGCCTGCCAAATAAAAAAACATGCTAAAAGTAAAAAAAGGCTAAATGCTAAAAGTAGCAGAAGAGTAACCAAATGCTAAAACAGGCAAAAGACGAGCTAAAACCAGCAAAAAGCTTAATAAACACAACAAAAAACTACATAGATATAAATTAACAAAATGCTAACAATAGAAGAATGTCAGCTAAATACTAAATTTGGCTAAATGCTAGGTACAAGAAACAAAAGTCTAGCTTTGAGAGCTAAATGCTACAAGTAAAAATACAGTAAGTGCTAAAATAAGCAAAATATGAAACAGCTAAACGGTACCGAAAAGCTAAAGGTAGCATAAGACAAAAACAAACTTGCTGAAGCACATTTATAAGAGATCGATGTTTTAAAATGTATTTGAGTAAAATTTTTGTAAATAAAGTTAATGTTTTGTAAAATATAAAGGTTTTAAATAACAAAAATCTCCTAAATGAGCTGAACATTTTGATATATGAATAGCTAAAACAACACAAAGCATTCAGAAGCTGTCAGATTGAAAAAAAAAAAGTCTGGAAAAATTGAAAACCTAAGTGTGAATGTTGAATCAGCATTTTCACAATTACACACTTTTCTGTATGCGTGTGTTCTCACACATTTAAGGTCAAAATATCAAAAAGCCTAAGTTCTAATAGAACAAACTTCTTTTTTCCTCGAATCGTTTGTTTTATTTTGGCAGACTAGGTCTATTTAAATCGTGGTTTGGCTGCTTCAAACAGAAGGTCTATTTTTGGCCCAACACACATCTCTGACCCGATTCTGTCACCACAGCTGGGAGCTAACGGTGAGCCCGGTGTCGGACTGCTCCAGGAGCATCACTCTTCAGGTCTCAGGTGGGTCACTGAGCTCAATGTAAAGCTGTGTGTGTGTGTGTGTGTGTGTGGGGGGGGGGGGTCGTTACTCTTCTAATAAGCAACTGTAGCGCCATCTGCAGGCCTCTCACAGTCTCAGAGGGTTTCTGAGAATCTCAGCGGCCCTTTGCCCCGTTTACGTCTCCCCCATATCTCCCACATCGTGTTTACTCCTCCTGGATCAAACCAGCACATTCTCAGAAGAGTTACACAACAGCTTTCAAAGAAACAACAACAAAAAACATCAGCACAAAAGATTCTTTTGGCATCTCACGTTTATTTACAAAATGTACTTAAGTGGGAAACCTGTGGCAAAGTCTGGACCACCAGACGAGCCACCTCAGGGAGTGTGGGACGATGAGTCAAGTGCCCCCGAGTCTGATGGGTGTCTCAGACGAGTAAAGTGCAACAGTAAGTGGCTTATTTCTCTGGTTGTGTAATAGGTTTAGCTCGGTTAACCCTCGTGTCTTCCTGCGTCTCTTCACTGAGTCTTCCCTTCAGTCCAGGTGAGGATCCGAAGGACCGTCTGGTTGAAGTCCTCCGGCTGGTCTGCGAACACGTAGTGACCCGCTCCTCTGATCACCTGACGAACACACACACACATTTGATGTTTGGAGTTAGAAAATAAGAAGCTAAAACGTTGAGCAGTCAGCCTCTGCAAAAGTTCTCACTGGACCATATTTATCAGACACACTTAGTGAAAACATGATCAGGTTTACCAACGGATGACAATAAAAGATTTAACTCACAATAATTTCTACGTCCGGTCTGGTTCTCCGGACCGCGTACCCGGAGTTGCTGTCGATGCTGGATCGAGACCCGTAAATGAAGGAGATGGGAATGTCGGCCCGGACCTGGTGGATCCGCTCCAGCATGGGTCTCTTGGCCCAGCCGTAGGGAATGGTCATGTTCTTAAAGGCCGTCTCTCCGCTGAGACACAGAAGAACCGTTAACGGACCTGAATGTGGCGCTGCGACGGAACCAGCCTATAAAGGGCTCCTCACCTGGGAGTCTGAGCGTTCAGGTGGTAGATGTAGTCCGACACCGTGTTGTCGTCAAACACAGAGGAGTACTTCTGCTTGAAGTCGGACCGGATGGTCTGGACCAGCATGGGACCTGAAGCATCGTTATAAAAATTTAATTAATCCGTTTATAAAATTAACAAAGAGAAATGTTACAAAACGACTTGTTTTCTTCCAGATTTTTGTTGTAAAAAGGAGATATTTTCAAACCACATATGTTTACATTTAATCAAATTAAACATTTGAATTTCCACAAAATGAACAGGAAGACTTAAAATTAAACACACTTTTCTTAATGTTAAAGTTAAAGTAACATATCTTCTGGTAATTATCAAGTTTTAAAGTAAAATAATAATACAGCCTCTAAACCAGGGGTGCCCAAACATTTTCCTCGAGGGGGCCAAAACGAAAATCTATTCATGGCTGCGGGCCAAATGCAGTTATAGAATACATGAAATACAAATACTTTTTAAAGTAAAGTCCTTTATTTTTAACGATTAAGCTGTGCAATGGCCCTCTTTTGATTTAGTCTGTGCACTTGGAGAAAGTCTGCCATACGCTCAAGTAGCAAAAGCTCATGGGACATATCATAAATTGATAAAATATGAGTTTTTGTGGCCTTATAAAGTGTGAAAATCTACATGTGGGGTTAAATCTGATCTAAATATTTCTTGTTGTCGTTTCATGTTTAATCCTAATAAATCAAAGATATGTCAGCACCATGAATGAAAACTACCTTCACTAAAGCCCTTTTATATAGTCATTTGACCAATGGAAATACTGTGTTTCTACCAATAGGATAACTGGTTACAACCTTGTAACTTTGGCAACTGTTGGTGGGCCAAATCAAATGGCTTGGCGGGCCAAATTTGGCCCGCGGGCCCCACTTTGGGCTCCTCTACTCCAAACAACAACACCAGACTGCTTTTAATTTGCTTTTAAAAACTTCACTGAAAGGCTAAATCAGTGCATTAAAATCAAAGTTTTATTCTCTGGTTTGTTGTTGCATTTTAGCAGCAATAACTCAAAGTAGTTTTCTTCTGGGTGACATCATTTGTCTCTTCACATAGTTTTATTTTTATTTTTTTTCTAAACTCTATTTTCTGCCACATCTGAAGGTTTTAGAGGTCTAGACTTGGCACTACGGTTCTGTTCAGCCAAAGCAAGCCTTACCTGGCTAAGTTTATGACAGCACTGTTAGAAAACCATTCATTAGGAGCAGAGGCCTGTAAAATCAGAGACTGATCATTTGTTTTTTATGCAGTTTGTTTGAACTTTGCACAGTCTTTGAGTTGAACTCACTGGGACCTCTGTTTCTGAGAAGATTGCTAACCGTCCTAAATGTAGGGTTGTTGACATTTCGTCAGCAGCTGCTGCCATTTTCTTCCCAAACTGCTGTGACCAGATTTTGCAAGGCTGCTCGGTGCGTTTGCTTGTAATTTCCTCCTGCTTCGTTATTTCTACGAATTTCAACAAATCGGGCTGCCGTCAGGTAGTTAGCTACAGCCTCATCTTCGAGTTTTTAATTTTTGTTTATGCGTTTTGGAGAGACAATTTTTTGAAAAGAGGATCAAAGTAAATCACCCGAGTTTTTCTAGTGACTCCTTAAAGAGATAAGCTGCCATGAGGAACATTATTTTATCTGCCCTTGTTCCACATTTGATAATGATTTGAAACGTCAAAGTGTGTATTTTTTTTTATCTGGAGCAGCGCTTGTTGCAAAGTGTTTTGACGCTTGTCTTCGTCACTTGACACATTTAACACGCTGTGAGGAGCTTTGTTTCCAAAACAGATGTCCACATGGTTTTTAAATTGTTTTAATTTCCTTACTTTCTAAGACACATTCAGTTGATTTGATGCTACAGTTTGCCTTGTAATGTTATTGTATACCTTTTCTGCTACTTTTGAATTGGCTATTATTTAGTTTTATTAGTTTTTTAAGGATACAAGATGCTTCCTACAAAACCAGAATGGGAATCTTTTCCTAAAATTTCATGGCGATATCTTGAACACTGAGGAAGTTATGAGCAAAAACAGAAAACAGCAAGGTGAAATGGTCACAAAGGCCCCATTGGTTCTGCTGTGAAACTGCAGCAAGAAAACGAGCTGATTTCACCTAAACAAACATCAATAACTTCCCTCATACTAGAGATAATCACATGATTTTGGTGTTATTTTGTATGATTTGAAATGTTCTTTTGGAATCTGCTGTCGGATTTAATACTGATGAAGGATAAAAAAATTTATCCACATCCCTACTAAATGTTTTCCCTCTCACTGTAGAATCATGAACTGTTTGGGAAAGAACATTTTAACCCTTCTCTGAATAAACAGGAAAAATAAAAGCAAATCTATCCAAACTCTAATAAGGTACAAAATAAAACAAAACACCTGGATGAACTATTTATGTGAACGCTGATTCAGCATTATTTGTTTTGCTGTTTTTATTTTGCTGTACATTTTTTTTACATTCTAATGACTTCAGCACACTTTGTGCAGTTTTCACCGTTCATGTCAAAACACTGATCTCATTCAGGAGCTGTGACTTTTGGTTTTAGTAACTTTTATACTTTTAACTTCTTTTCCTCAATATTTACCTTAATAAATATCTTTCCGACAGAAAATATTATTATTTATTTAATCTTAACGTAGAGAAACATTGTTCTCTTTGCACCTGTTTTAGCAAACTTATTTTAATTTTGTTTTCTTATGCTACTTTTTCTTTTATCCATCATTTTGCTACTTACCTTTAGCTAACTTTTTACTTTTTGCTTTTAGTTAGTGTTTTGCTACTTTTAGCAAGTATTACTTCTTACTTTTTGCCATACATTTTAGACAGCTTTTAGCATGTCTATTGCTACTTTTAGCTTTTAGCTCAGCTGTTTCCACGTTTAGATAGCATTCTGCTCTTTTTAGCTTCAACTGAGTTTCAACTTCTTCAGCAACTTAGAGCAAAGTTCCTCAGCTCGCAGCGTTCTCTTGGCCTTCTTACAGAAATTTAAGTTTCCCAGTTACAAAACACATTTTAGTGTGTTGTTTGTTGTGATGTTTGTAAGCGTGCGTGTTCTGACCCAAAGGCCCGGCCAGCCTGAGACCAGCCAGAGGGTTGAAGGGACTCATGACGGCTCCGATGGCTCTGATCCACACGGGGATGGAGTGATGGTTGGGGTTCTCTGGGCGTTCTGGGAATCCCCACGGCTCCACCAACAGAAGATGTTTCACCCTGCAGACACACACACACATTAAACACACATAATAATAAACCGATACAACTTGTTTACATCCACACAATCCTAAAAGCACCTGTTTGGATATTTGAGCGTGTACGCCGCAGACAGATATCCTCCAAGGTTGTGTCCCAGCAGCACCATCTCCTGCAGGCCCACCTTCTCCCTCCACTCCTCCAGGGCCTCCACAAACTGCTCCTCGGCCCCCTCGGGGTCGGTGCTGAACAGTGGACGGCTGCTCCTGCCGAAGCCCAGCAAGTCCAGAGCGTAGACGGGTCCACAGCTGGACAGAGTGTCCAGATTCTGGGCCCAGAGGGCTAAGCCACCCCCAAAGCCGTGCAGCAGAACCAGAGGAGTTCTGGGCTGGGCAGGAGGTTGTGGGAGTAACGGAGAGGATGGGTGCAGCTGAGTGGAGAAAGCTACGGTCCACAGGTAGTTGTCGTTTGATATCCGGATGTGCTGCCTGGAGTAGGGCCGCCTCACAGCTGAACCAAAACAAGAATGAACAGAGTGGATAGAAAAAGAGGAAATTATAGAGGCATTATGTAACACTGAACGTCAGGAAAAAAATACTTTAAATGCAACATAAATGCTACCAACTATCGCTCCTGATAATGTATGCTCTTAAAAACAGATTATTGGCTTTTTCCCCCTTACTTTTCAGCATTTTTTCCTCTGCATCTTTGAGTTGAGACAGAGAAGTGGGGCACCAGGAGGGAAGCCAGTTTGATATCCAGGAACTGAAGTTCAGACAGCGAACACAGGCAGGAGCACAACATGCACAAACAAAACACACTGAACTTTGATCATGTGTCATTTGTTATCACTTCCGCTGGTATCTTTGGTCAGGAAGGAAACTTGACAACATCAGGCAAACAGTACAGTGGATCACAGAAACCTCAGAAACTGTCTTCTGCTTTGTTTAGGACTCCTGTACAGTGATGAAGGATCAACATAGTATTTAGTAGGTAAAAATAACTAAAATCTCTAATGCTCAATTTAGTATACACTTAATGACATGAACAACAGGGATATATTCACAAATAAACCATTTGGAGCATTAAAAACAAGCAGATTTCTCTACAAAAATGACAAATAAAGTGGTTTTATTAGAGCAGAGTTTAGCATTGAGTATGAAATACTACGCCGAATTACATGAGAGGTAGTACCAGATAAGATCTTGTATCTGAAGCAAGTTGTAAATGTTTCAGAAACCCAAGTACACGTTAGGTTACAAATTTAACCTCAGTTTTGACAAGAGTCAGCTGTCCCTCCTGGAGGACTCCTGAGAAGCTTGTTTAAAACAGCCAGTAACTTTCAGATTGAACACGGTAAAAAAAAATTAATATTAATAATAATAAAAAGACAAAAGCTCGGATTATAAACACTACATACGGTTTACCTTTGCTCATTGCGAGGTTGAATCTCCTCCGCCATCCTCCGCATGATGTGGGTCTGACAAATTTGGAGCTCGTGAGTCGACGCGAGAAAGTAAACCACTAGCCAAAAAAGTTCATGTGGTGCGTTCAAGTACATACCGTAAACCAACCTAACCTCACCAAACTTAATGTACTGATGTGGATTTATTGCATATTTTTTAACTTTGCTATCAAAATTTGTTTTATAATTGAATATGTTAGTTCTAATAACTAAATTTTTTAAATCAGTGTTTCTTTTAAAGCNGCACTCTATATAACAGCAATCGTTGATATTTGTCCAACTGTACCTGAATGCCGCAGTGTTAGCAAGTGCCTTCTCAAGTGCGCACTTTCCTTCCCCAGAAAAACAAGTTATTTTCCAAAAAAGAGAAGCTGCGTTTATCTGACTTTCGGTAGAGGTAACAGCATGTTTTTATTTTGGAAGTTGCGATTGTTTGCATGCTTTTATATGACTGTATCTTTATTTTTTATTTTTATCTTTGCTGTGCATCACTTTGGTTGCGTTGGGGTGTTTAGTGTTGTTTAAATAAAGTTTTGATTGATTGATTGAACATCTAAAGCAGAGATGCTTCTTCAAATGAAGAGGTGACGTCAGGCTGTTTGCCTGTGTTAGCAAAGCTAGCTGAGGGTGCAGGTAATATAGTATTATGTACATTAACAAAAATATATATTTCTCTTCGAAGTTTTCAGCATATTTGATCAATTTGTGTCTTCTTGTGCTTTTTCCACTCAGTTTTTTGCAAATTGTACAGTTTAGCTAGCATTTAGCTATAATCAGAATTTTTTTTTACCAGGCTAGCATTTTTGCTACCTATTGTTTTGCTTATTTTAGCCAGCATTTTGCTACTTTTAGTTAATTGAACCTAGCATTTAGATGATTTTACCTTTTTACTTGGTGTTTTGCTACTTTTAGCTAACACTTTCTACTTTCATATTGTTGCTACTTTCAGATTTAGCTATTATTTTACTGCTTGATATTCCGATAATATCTTGATATTAATGCTTTGCTGATTTTAATTAGCATTTTGCAAATTTTAGCTCCCATTTTGCTTTTTTAGTTTAAACTTTTTAGCTAGGTCACTGCTGCCTTTGGCTTGCTTTCTGCTACTTTAGCTCAGTTTTAACTTCTTTAGCAAATGTTAACAAAAATAATCGTTCACTCTGCCCTTTTGCAGAAAAGGCAGTTTCTCTGGTTGATATTAGATAAAATATTCTGGCAGAAACTTTCCAAACACAAGGCTTTTTGTGTTCAAAATGTGTTTTCATGTTTTTATGTGCAAAAAAAAAAAAAATTTGCTTTCCTCCAAGTAATATATAAAGCCTATATTAACTGACAGCTCACTTAAACCTTTTAGGCCTTCTCTTATCTTTTCCTCCATTTTTAATTTAAGATAAGGCACAGATTAAATGCAGAGTTAATTTAATTCACTATCCTCCAGCACTCGAGTATACAGTATGATTAAGATGCCATAGGAAATTCACCTTTCTGATCTTACCTCTCTCTTTATTTAACTTCTGCTTTTGCATGAATCTCATTAAGTCTTAAAAGGGAGGGTTTATCTTATAGATTTATAGACGTGTTATCCTTGAGAAGCTCAGGAGTATCCTTCAAGAAATAATTCTGTAGTCAGTGTGTGCTGACTTGACATTTAGGAGTAATTTGTGTCTTTTTGGAGACCTCAGGAAGTGGGTGACACCTAATACATCCAGCAGGGTGCTATGGGGTTGGATTTTGTTTATAATAATATATCGTTACACTACATACACATATCTGTGATAGGAGGAGAGACAAATGTCATATTTTGCAGGGAAACGCTGGACCCTGGAATTCATGCATCAGAAAGACGCTGTCATTTGGCAGAATGATTCGTCTTAAACACTGCAAGAGCTGCATGAATTAGTCCTGTCTGACAGGGCAGTGCTGAGTTTAACCTCTTAGTGTTCGTATTACAGGCTGGCTGCCCTCAGGCGGTTTTAACGCTGTGGCTGATGGGGGTTAATTATGTCATTAGAAACCAGTTTCATTACATTAGTTTGGGTAAAACTCCTCTATGTCCTGATCAGAACAATCCACACCCCCTCCAGTCTGCTTGTCCATCTTTCCCTGTCTGATCCACGAGGTGGCGCAGCTGTGCCCCAACCTCCTGCCAGTCTCTGTAGCTTCATGTGTCAAACACAGCTTTCTCCTCACACCGCCCACCTCTAGTGGCTCTCAGACTGTAGCTCCGCTGAGTGGTTCCTGAGTGCTTCATTTCCTTTTCTTCCACTTCTCGCCGTCCGATCGCCCTGCTGAGTGCTCAGATTTTCAGCAGACAGCGAGGCTTTTGGCCGAGCCCACGGACGGGCAGCGGCAGCGTGAGGCTCTGGCTGTCTGGAGACCAATAACTGAGTGAAGCTTTTAGTGTGGAGACAGCAGAAATCTGCAGCACAAAGCCAGCCTCCTGATTGTTTCTCACAACTAAAAGCTCATGCTAGCCAGGGGTCAGGCATATCATACAGGGATCAATATCAGTAACTCGTGCTCTGGCAGCAAATTAACTTTAAATAATCTGTTCAGTCCTATTAGTCCTGAGATGATCAGGAGGAGAGTTCACCAAACAATTACAATCTAGTTTAAATTATCAGATGTCTGGATTGTTTTGCCCCGGAGTGAAGCGTCAGCTCGGGTTGGATAAAGCCAGATACATTGGCTTTGTTTTTGTCTTCTTGTACTCCCATTTAGCTACTGTTCAGCTACTTTTAAATAGCCTTTCAACGGGGGGGATACAGGCCTCAGGTGTTTGGGAGAGGGTCTTAAATTTGTTTTCAAAACCGTTATTTTAATTTTGTGTTTTTGTAATGCCAAAAAAAGTGAAAATTTCTCATCATATACTGAATTAAACTCAATTAAACTTAATTAAACTTAAACTTTAAAATCCACAATAAACCTCATTTGTTAAAAACGGATTTGCTACAATGTTCAACTTCAAAATTAAATGTTGGAATGTAAGAAATGACATCACATGGTTGAACATGAGAGGGACACGTTTGAGGTGTGGAACATATATTTAGTTTGTTTAGACTCAGTTTTTCACAAAACTAAATCATCATGTCCCGTTTTAAACTACAGGTTGTCCTATTGTCATGTTGGCAGAGATTACATTTACTTAGAGGGAATCTAAAAAGTTTACACACCCCTGTTAAAAAGAAAAAACACGACCTTGGTCAGTCATTTCAACATTTTAACTTAATGTGACGTATCCTGTGCAATTCAATTAAAAAATCAAATGTGTCAGGGTGAGTATATTTATACACTGATATAAAGAAGATGCATTAAGGTGGGACAGTTTTGCACGTCAACATCCAAAATAATATGCAGTTTGAAGCATGTTTTGAAAGCGTGTCGCCTGAATCTTCCTGCTCTTTCCTTTAAGTCAGACCACAGGTCGACGTTCTTCAGGTCATCCACAGATTTAATATATGTTTAGTTTTAGTCAAGCCTGTTCCAAAACTCTAATTTATTCCTGGTGAAGTCATTGTTTTGTTGATTTGGATGTATGCTTGGTGGTCATTGCCAATTTGAAAAGTGAAATTCTTCATCAGCTTTGTGGCAGAAGACCGAAGGCATCGGGCCAAAATAAAGTGCTGTTTGGAACTTTTCTTGTATCCGTCCGCCTCGACTTAAACCTCTGTTCCAGCTGGAGAAAAGTGACCCCACAGCATGATTCTGCCACCGCCATGTTCCACTGTGGAGTTCTTTTATTGAAGCATAGCTTGTTTTTTTTAACCAAACATAGCTGTCGTGATCTGTGTTTTTGCTTTCATTTTCTAGTGTTTCTCTGTTCCCCTGTGTATCTCTTCCCTGCTGTCTTGCCTCCAGCCCCGCCCATGCTCACCTGTTTCCTCTTGTGTCTCACCAGGTGTTTCCCATTGTCCCTCATTAGTTCACCTTTATATTCTTTGTCCTGTCTTCAGTCTTTGTCAGATTATTGTTGAGTGTTCTGTGTCTAGTCTTCCTCATCCCTGTAGAGGGTTTTTGAGCTGCCTTGCCAGCCTTTTTCTGTTTTATTAAAGCTTTTTTCCTTTTGTGAACCTCGCCTGCACCCTGGGATTTTCCTGCTCCGATTTTTGACAATAGCTTTTGAAATTATTGCCAAAAAATTCTAGCAGAACATGTTTCAGTTTCTTATCTTTATATCAAATTTTGCAGGAATGTCCAGTTCTCAAAAATGTTTCTTTCGTTCCAGAAACTCTCCACTTCTTGATGATTATCCTTTTTTATGGGATACTTAACGTTGAGGACAAATTGTGGTAACTTTCTCCAAACAGGATGTGTCACGTTAAAGGTACATTTACTGCATCATTTTTTTTTACATCAAAAACCATCTGTACAACTTTATATCCACTGTTCATTTAGTTTAGTTTAGTTTAGTTTAGTTTATTCATTCATTTTATAAAAAACAACATAAAATCTATATACAATAAAAATGCAAATCATAAATGAAAGGTAGCAGAAGAAGAAAAAACATATCTGTCCCTTTTCTTGAAAAAATACATTTAAACAAAAAAAAATCAAGTCTTATTTACAGCTTAGGCGGTGGATAATATTTACTTTGCTTATGGCTGTTGTCTGGAACGTCTTTATTTTATTCAAATTCAGCAGAATGCATGTCTCAACTTTATCTGTAAGTTTTAAAAACATACAACCTCAATACCGACAAACCTGCAAATAATTTGCCGGACTAGATTCTGCACCCTCAGCATTACAATTTTCAAATCTCATAAACCCATATATTCACAATTTAACACAGTAAGCATGTCTAAAACAAGAAATTGTACAATTTTCGGAAAAAAAATGTAATAATTTTAAATTTTATGGCAGCAGCACCTCTCAAACAATTTGAGTCAGGGGTAACAAAAGTGTTTTAAAGGTAGTTAGTATGAATGAGAAACAGCTGGAGGAATATTTTACTACAAATCAGGTTAATTGACAACAGGTTAGTAAGAGGAAAGGATTTACAAAGAGCATTTTATAGAGCTTGATGGACCGAGGTTCACCAGTTTGCTAAAACAGTGGATCTGGTTCAGAATAATTTTCATCCGAACATTGAGACTTTGAATATCCCATCATCTACAGTTCCTAATATCAATAAGAGATTTCAAGACTGAAAGTTAATATAATATATTAGTTGGTCAGAGAAGTGAGGTTTTGAAATTCTCTTTAAATACCACATTATTGATCGAGGAGTTAAACCACCCAGCCTGTTATCATCAAACAGTTCAAAAGCCTGCCTCTCTGATGGTACGGAGGTGCATACGTGCCTCTGGCGTGAGCAGCTCAACAGGCCTGGAAAGGGGCCATCAGTGCAGAACAATACTGGTTTTAAACCAGCTTAGGTTTCCATCGAGATGATGCCTTTTTCAGAGAAGGTCTTGCATATTTCAGCAATGCTAACCTGCTCACTGCAGACCAGGTGAAAACGTTTGACGCATCATAAAACTAAAAAAATCCAACAACCTTGTTGAACAGGGAGAATCATCAGACAAGAATGAGCTGTTCTCCTCCAGCTGGTCTCCTTTGTTGTTTACAGATTTAGAAGAAGAGGAGACGTTTCACAGAGGAAGACATGGACCTGGAACAACTTTGTTAAAATGTGTTGCTGACACCAATTCACTTGTTTTTTTAAAAGGGTACATTTTTTTTAAACATTTGAGAAGTTTACTGCATTGTGAATAGAATGAGACTTATCAATGAATTAGTTTTTTTTTAAAGATTTGTGATTTTACAAATGAAACGCTTGCTTGACATAATTTTCTTATGGGTTAGTTTTAAAAAGCCTTTTTTTTTTTAGCCAGTGGGCAGTCACGATAAGAGTAGGCATGATAATATGTAAATTCCTCCACAGGAAAGAACTTGATGTTCTGTACAATTAGGTGGAAATATATGTGCATATATTGGCATCTGCATCAGCGGCTGGATGAACTGAGCAGGAAAACAGTGGCATATCGAGGATCAGCTCACAAAAAATCTAATTTTACACATTCTAATTTCTGACATGTTTAACCTCAGCTAACAAGTTTTTTTTTTAGTTCATGTGAACAGTTGTTAACACCCACCATGATGCTCCTAGACAGGTGTGTTCATCACAACATAAAGGTTTTAGGAATAATTAGAGTTTGTAGAAGTAGCCCACATTTTGTGTTGATGGTATCATATTGTGAAAAGCAGAGGGAAGTGGGGCCTGGTGGTATTTTCTACGCGCGCGCGTGTGTGTGTGTGTGTACTTGTTTTGCCTACAGAGTGAGGATCATGCTAGGTTTTTAATTAACAAAGTGAGGATGTTTTTTCCGGTCCTCACTTTGTTTGCAGCTCTACTGTACGTTACTAGTTAGGTTTAGAGGTATGGTGTGAATTAGGTTCTGGTTCAGGTTAGTGTTAACTGTAGACCAGTAATGGTTAATTTTAGGGAAAATGTCTGGGTCAGGCATAAATGCAGTTACAAAAATGAATGGAAGTCAATACAAAGTCCTCAGTTTGATGCCAATACAAGGATGTGTGTGCGTGTGTGTAGGTGTGCCCTTGTTTTTTGTACTTGGTGGGGATGATTTATCAGGAAAATGCAGCCTCGTGGGCACCGGATGCTCCTTGTGGGGACCAAAGCCCGGTCCCAATGACTTCGGAGGCTGATTTTGAGGTAAATGGTCAGGGTTAGGATATAAAACTTCCAAAAAATGAATATAAGTGAATGGATGGGCCCCAGGAGGATATAAAAACCAACCTGAGCGTGTGTGTGTGTGTGTGTGTGTGTGTGGGGCAGATGACGCTCTGCAGCTTGTCCACAGCTCACTGTTCTGGGCTCAGCTCCTTCCTGGTTTATTCAGCACTAACCCCGCTTCACTCAGTCATCAAGCTGTAAGCTCAACGCAAACTCTGTCAGGAGTTTTTAGGGCAGAGCCCGGTGCACTGTGGGTAATAAGAGTGCCCAGGCTGTTAGTGGAAGATGGAGAGGGGACGGAGGCGAGGCGGAGGGGGCTGCGCGGTTGCTAGGACACGCGGTCGGCGCCTACAGCAGACATGATTTATAACGGCCAGGCTCACTGTCTCGCTCTCTCCACTAGTTTCCTCCTCGCTCTTTTTTTTTTTTCAATGATTCTCTCCATCCTCATTTTCCCACAACTGAGCCGAGCGCTCAGTGCTCGTATTACTAAGGCTAGGATTTATTCCCATCATTTCATCAGCTAATAATAATATTAATAAAAATAGTAATAAACTTGTTTTGATTCCGTGTCTGTCGAGTCGCACTTGGTTTTCATTCGAGTGTTTTACAATAGAGCTGTGTGTGAGTTTGTGCGTTTACAAGATCATACAAGTGCATGAATAGAAGGTATTGATCCACCTCAGGATGTTAACGTCCTCAGGGATAAATGCAGCCTATAGAGGACGGAGCACGACTCCAGCAGAGGAGTGTGACAAAAAGGGGAAATAATGGTTTCAGATGCTCTCAGTGGGCAATCAGAAACAAGGGGGCGTGGGGGGTCTGCCTCAGGTGGATCATTTCAAGTACGTGGGCGTCTAGGATGGATCAGGGCCTCGTCCTCAGTAATGAGAGCGTTGCTTCGGTCCGTCGTGGTGAAGAAAGAGTTAAACTGAAAAGCAGAGCTCTGGATTAAAGAGTCTATGTTAAACATCACCTGTGGTCACGAGGTTTAGATCGTGACAGAACAAGATCCTGGATTCAAGCTTTTGAACTGAGCTCCGTCATCCTGGTAGACTCAGAGTATTTTTGCAGGTATAAGGCTCATAAAAACCCATTACCTTTAAACATCCAATGAAATTTAGTTAGAAGAGAGAGTTGTTATAATATTAAAGTAATAGAGATGTTTGTAAACACAAATTTAGAACCAGTTTGAAGGAGCGGTGTTCTTCTATTCAGGGAATAAAACTATCGAATCATCTGGAAAAGTGATGTAAAAAATGCCAGATTAATGTTTGTCTTTAAGAGAATGATAAAAGTTGGTTTGTTGAAGTCAAATGAATAGTATAGCGCAGAAAATTTGGTGTTTTTTACTTGAAGATTATTGTTTGAGTTAATTTTCTTTTTTTAATGGGCAGATATACGATTTGTTCTTTCTGCAGCCTTTCATTTTATTTTATTTTTATTTTGTATATAGAATTAGATTTGTTTTAAATGAAATGAATAAATCATTTAAAAACTTAAAAAAAACACTAGCATTCGTGGTGAAATGTGGAACATTTATAAATTGTTATAAGAAATGAAACACAAAAAGGATTTCTTAAATCCAGTGGTTCAGTTCGAAAGAGTTTACTGCGGTGGTTTTCCATATATATTGATCCAGTTCTGAAATGTGGGTACGCTGTCAGTGTAAACAAAGCCCTTGGCTCAATCAGATGAAAACCACCTGGAAGCTTGAGTCCTGTGATTGATCCATACAGAGCAAATCTAGCAGAAGACAATGTAAATACGTACCAATATATCTGAGTTGTTGGTCTTCCTCGTCTCCAGTGGTTCATCTCTAGACGTCACTGTTGATAGATTCAGTCACTTTGTTGTTTCTGTTTTGATAGTTGGCATCCAGTCATATTTTGTAATTAAAGGCCACATTAACTCATTATATTTAGTCAGTCTTTATGACATTTCCAAGAGTACCTTAGGTGTTCTTTAATTAAAAAGAAAAGGCACCAAAAAGGGGGTCATGCTAAGTGTTTTGTAGAAGCTAAAGTCTTACATTTTACATAATAGACTATATTCTTTTTGATGCTCCGTTATAAACAACACTCTGCTATTCAACTTGTTTTTTGTATGTTTTAATGGATTTGACACCAGATCCATTCGGTTTGTTTTATAGACATGAGGTAGATTTGTTTCATATGAAAAGAGGTTTCTTTTCAGTGCTGTTTCCGTGTTTTTCCCAGCTGTCTTGCAGGATTATGCAAACCATAGCTGATAATTTCATGAAGAGTTGGATCATGGGTAAAGGTAGGAGTACTAAATCCAGATTAATTTTCTTAAAACGGTGCATTTTAGCCTTTACGTCTTGTCTTTATACGTGGCCTGTGTGTGCAGCGAGTTGAAATTTCTCTGCTGTGATCCCAGGCTGTGGTCAGATTCCAGGCAAATCACATTTGTTTCTTCAATCAGATCTTTAGGAGCTCCTGTTCAGCCTGTGATCAGATTAGATTTGTGGGTTCTGCCCAGAGAGAAGCAGACTTTCTGCAGGAGTTGGGTTGGACTGTAGGTGTTGGCAAGCTGAAGCTTTACATTCGTAGCTTCTGTCCACTGTTAGTGAACAGAACCGCTCCTCCCCAGAGATGAATTGACCTGTGAGCTGGCTGTAGTCTGTGTGTTTGGATTATTCAGGACATGATTGCTATGATGTTTATAACTTTTATGCTTTCCAAGTTGTTTAGCTTTATTTAGCATACATCAGAGTAGGGTTGGACATAATCGTATCGTGTGCAATTAATCGTCAGAAAAACATTAATCAATTACTTTTTGGCACTTGACGATTAATACGGTTAATGCCACCAGGCAGAGTCCGCTCGCTGCTCCTCTCTGCTTCAAATATGATGAACATTAAAAAAAGTTATGTAATTTATTTATCAACACAATTTAAAATTTGAAATGTAGCCTGAAGTCTGTAATTTTGACACAATTTAGAACAGATTTGTATATCTTTCCTACTAAATTGGTCATATGACTATAACCTGAGGGTGTCCAGGGACTCCAGGGGATTAATCGTCAAATTAATCATTATCGGCTAAATACCACAGTTAATCGTGATTAATTTTTTTGCCAATATTGCCCAACCCTACTAGGGTAGGGCATAATCGTATCGTCTGCAATTAATCGTCAGAAAAACATTAATCAGTTATTTTTTGGCACTTGACGATTAATACGATTAAAGCCACCAGGCAGACTGACTGGAGATTTCCCCGGTCAGTCTGCTCGGTGCTCCTCTCCGCTTCAAATACGAACATTTAAACAAAAGTTCTGTAATTTATTTATCAACACAATTTAAAATTTGAAGTATGGCCTGAAGTCTGGGATTTTGACACAGTTTGAAAAAGATTTTTACGAAGAGCAAATCTTTCCCACTAAATTGGTCATGTGACTAGGACATAAGGGTGTCTAGGGACTCCAGGGGATTAATCGTCAAATTAATTATCGGCTAAATACCACAATTAATCGTGATTAATTGTTTTGCCAATATTGCCCAACCCTAAACCCTACTCAGAGGTGTCAAACTCGTTCAGAGGGCCACATGAGCATTACAGTGGCCCTCAAAGAGTTGTCATTAACTTCAATATTTTCTGTTTAACTTCAACTAAACACAAAATGTCACATTCCTGAGCACCACTAACAATCAATAACTGAGCTCTACCTGGTATTCCCTGCATAGAAACAGTGTTTTAACACGTCCTCTTATAAACGCTGAAAAGTACTCCGTGTACGACTGACTAAATATGAAATAAATAAAAAAGAAATACTATTAAATGTAAAAGTAAGTGAGTTTTACTCACTACTGAGTTGTGGTGAGGAGCTTTCAACAGGGAATTCTTACTTTAGAGGTGTTCAAGTTTAATTTTACAATTTGAAACTTGGAAATTCTCATTTCCCAGTCTAACTGGGCTGCAGCAAAATGGTGAAAATGCAGTGAAGTAGAGATTTTACACGGCAAATTTCACCAACTGACAGCCGGGTAGAAAATCAACATGCATTATGGGAGATGTAGTTTATGGTCGATGCTGGCTTTAAAGCAGAATACACTTATTTTAAGACATTAATTCCTCTTTGAAGCTCTCACGGGTAGAGATGCTCGATATTGTTTAACACTTTATTTCCGATTCTGATATTAACCGATATTACAAACCGATATTAAGATGACATCACATAACTCCTGTCAGGGACAATATGCCTGTTTTTACTGTGATACCCCACTAGATGCATTCCATAGGTTTGTCTGTATAAAATAAAAACCATTTTACTGAAGTTATGGAAAAAGTTCCATATTTATTTTTAACATTTTGTCTCAAACAATAGTTTGGATCATGCTCTCCCTGAGTTAATCCAGTTTGATGATGTCATCAATCACACGCCGGTGAACGTCTCTGGATCACAATCCTTTATTAACACATTTTGGTCAAATCCAGGCGTTAATTTATCTGGCTTTTGTTATCAGAAGAAAAAGACGATACCAATATGTAGAGATTTTACATTTTTATGCCAATATCGGACCGATAATATCTGTAGGCCGATATTATCAGACATCCCTATTTGCAGGCCACATAAAATGCTGTGATGGGTCACATTTGGCCCGTAGGCCTTGTGTTTGACACATGCTACTTTTGTTTTTTTTAACTACTTTAAGCTTTTAGCTTTACCAACTCAGT